AATGCCACTTCTCAGGGGCTCCGGGAACGCTGCTCTGAAAGTCACGCATGAGTGCTGGAGTGGACGTTGGTGTTCACTGCAGCGAGCGACTTGGGAGCTCATGGGTCCCGGGCAGTGGCCCCAGCGTGGCTGGGGGCAAGGTGGGGTGCTTTCGGTGGCTTGTGTGCATAGAGCAAGGCTCAGTCTTGGGAGTGTCACACACTTGGGCTTGAGGTGGGGCCTTGCTTTTTTCCCTGCTTTTGAGCCAGAAGGGCACGTGTGACCAGATCTCTTTGAGGGGGAGTGTGACTAAGGTTGGGCAGGTTGGGTCGGAGGCTGGAGACTGAGGGCCAAGGCCCCGCGCGGGTTGGCAGGAGAGCCCCATGGGAGGCGGGGCATGCTGGGCTGACCGGGCACCGGGGCATCGGCCAGGGCACAGGGGCCGGGTCAGTGGCTGGTTGCAGAGGGGCCCAGCCATGAGGTCCAGGCAGGCCTTGCCCCCAAGACACTTCTAGGCAGGTGGACATTGGGTCAGGTGCATGGCAGTTCCCGGGGCCAGGGATCCTGTCAGAGGCCCGAGTCCCAGCTCCCAGGGGACAGATGTGGCTGTGGCTCAGTTGGCCCAGGAAACAGGGCATCTGGAAAACTAACCTGGGTTGCTCTGGCCAGCTCAGCCTTGCACTGAGCCTTGTCCCCCTCCCTCCCTCTCGGACGCTGTGATGGCCCGGCGCCTCATGGGCAGTGGGCCTGGCCCGTGCCAGGGCGGAGGGCCGTGCTGGCGCCTGCCCGCTGTACCGCCACACCTGGCCTCACGGGCTCCCTGCTCACTGGACGGCAGCCCGGGGCTTACACGACACGAGACATGCGCCTCTTTCCTCCGAGGGTGTCAGCTCCCTGCACCCGCCCCCTCCACACCGTCCCTCTCTGTCCTTCCTGGCAAGGTGGTGGCTGCCCCGGGCAGGGTCACTGATCGCCCCGTTTCCCAGTGTGCCTGGTGTTCCCTCTGGCTTCCTTCTTCCCCTCGGCTTTATTGACATTTGATTGACATTAACATCGCGTAAGCATACGGGGTACGACCTGGTGATTCGGTGCATGAATGTGCCGTGAAATGATTGCCTCATCAGGTCACTTAGCACGTCCAGCACTTCACACCGTCGTGCCTTGTTTCTGTGCGTTTTGGATTTTCTGGAGGTTGACCACGGCCGTGGTCTTTGCTGTGGCTACTCTGCCACGGGGGGGCATTAGCAGACTTGCCAGCAGGGCTTGGTAGGGACCCATGTGACCTCGGCCACACCCCTTGTCCAGGACCCCCTGACATCTCCAGGGGCTGATCCCGCAATTCAGGCTTCAGTTTTAGGGCAGTGCCCTGGACACCCCCTGTTCTCCCTTGGCCCGGCTTCTTGCTAAATGTGAGGCTGCTCTCTGGCCCGGCATCGAGGGCCCCTTCACAGACATGCCCCCCTACACCTCCCGTCCCCTCCTGGGGCTCACAGCAGGGTGTCATGCTGGTTGACAAAGTTGCTCGTGTGTGTGTGTGTGTGTGTGTGTGTGTGTGTGTGCGTGCGCGTGTGTGTTCACATGTGTGAGTGCATGCACGTGTGTGAGTGACCCCCCTCAGCATGTCTGCATCGTCTCTGGAGAGCTGCAGTGGGGGCTGGTTCTCTCTTTTGCCTTCATTTTTAATTTTATTCTATAAGATTTATTTGAGAGTGTGCACGCACGCTCACGCACATGAGGGGGAGGGGCAGACGGAGGGAGAGACAGAGACTCCCAAGCTGACTCCACGCTGAGCTCAGACTCTGATGCGGGGCTCGATCCCTCCACCCTGAGATCACGACCTGAGGCGAAACCAAGAGTCAAGCTTAACCGACTGCACCCCCCAGGTGCACCTCGAGTTCCTTTGTACAAAGCGGGTGTGAGGCGGGGCCGTTTCTCCCCTGCCGTGCACAGACTCTCCTCCCTGGGTCGCCCCCACACCCTGGGTGAGAGCGTGGCCTGCCTTTCCCATGGCGGGCACCACATTGGGGTGGCGTCGGGGGGCTTCAGCATGGAGCCTGCCCCGTCTCCCCCTCGGGCTGACCTGTAGGGCTGCATCTCAGGATTTGGCTTTCGTGTGTGCGCTGTTCAGCTGTTGCCTGGGAGGAACCCTTCCAAACGGACCAGCAGGGCACTTTCCTTCCTGTAATAGCGTTTTGTCAAAACTAGGGGTTCTCACTCAGGGCCATTCTGCCTCCCAGAGGACCATGGATGGTGTCTGGAGATGTCTGGGGTTGTCACACTGGGGGTGCTCCTGGCATCCTGGGGTGGCGCTGGGGACGCTGCTCACCCCCCACAGTGCCCGGGACATCCCCCCCTCCCCCAAAGAATACCTGTGCCTGGTGTCAGCAGCGCCAAGGGGGACAGACCCGGGTCAAGAGGAAACCACGTTAGAAATCGCATTCCTGGCGTGCGTGCCCCCTCCCTGCAGCATGTGGTAAGGGAGCAGTGTGGATCCCTCTGGGGGTACGTGGGGTCATGGGCACCCCCCTCCACTCCCTCCTGCCCCTGGAACTCTCGGGGGGGTGTTGGTTGGAGGGAGCAGGTGGCCTCGTGTCGCTTTTACAGCAGAGGTGAGTTGTTTGAAGTAGGACCGACGGGGGATGGCATGAAGGTAATTACCTTCCTTGATGATGGACCCGGAGTCGTTTTATTTATTCTGGGAAGGATCTGAGGTAGTTGGTAAAAGTACCAGAACGGCACGGGCATTGCAGCCCAAACCCCTGCTTTATAATGTTATTTTTTTTTTAAGATTTATTTATTTATTTATTTATTCGAGAGAGAGAATGAGAGAGAGAGAGAGAGCACGAGAGGGAAGAGGGTCGGAGGGAGAAGCAGACTCCCCGCCGAGCAGGGAGCCCGATGTGGGACTCGATCCCGGGACTCCAGGATCGTGACCTGAGCCGAAGGCAGTCGCTCGACCAACTGAGCCACTCAGGCGCCCCCAAACCCCTGCTTTGTGATGTCGGGGTTTGTGACTCGGGTGTCCCCGAGTGTAGTCAGTTACTCGGATGCGGGCCGAGGGCCTCCAGGCTGCAGGACAGGGTGGACACGTGGGGCCCACAGAACCAGTCTGTCGCGGAGGCCCCGGTCCGTGGAGGAGGCCGGCAGCAGACGCTGGCAGAGAGGCTTCCCCCTCAGCTGGGGGGGGAAGGTTCCGGGGGCAGGGAGGGCTGCCTGCCCGTGGGGCGCGTCACAGGTGTGTGAGCCAGTGGCTTCCGCACGGGGAGCCCCGCTCAGGCCAGTGCGTGGACGTGGGCAGACGCGGGCCGACTCAGAGGCAGAGGGGTGGAAGTAGGCCTAGAGCGGCAGGTGGGGTGAGTTTGGGGGTTTCTGAGCCCCCGGGAGGAGGCTCTGGGGCTTCAGCCTGTGAGCTAGGGGTATCGGCAGTCGTTGGAGGCGACGTGCTCTTAGACGGCGCAAGTTCTCTCTTGCTGTGTAATCACATCACCCCCCAGCTTAGCCTCACCCAGCAGACACTCAGTCTCCGAGGGCCAGGAGTCCAGGCGGTCCAGGCTCCGGGTCCCTCATGAGGCTGCAGAGCACGTGTCAGCCGGCGGGCGGCTCGGCGCCTCTCCCCAGCGCTGGTCTAGCATCCTCGCAGCCTGGTGGCCGCCCCCCTCCCCCCTCCGCCAGTGGGGCCAGATGGTGTGGAGCGAGCTGCCGTACCTCTTGTGACCTAGTCTCGGAAGTGACCCCCACCGTCTGTCCTGCTCTGCTGGTGGTCGCTGAGTCGGCCTGCGCTCACTGCAGGGGGGGGGTCCGTCTGCACACATTGAAGGGGGTGCGGCCGAGGTTTGTGGGTATAAAGAACCCACTGTTGCTGTGCCTGAGTGTGGGGTGAGCCAGCTGAGGAGACAGGCTTGCCGCTTGGCCCCTGGACCGGGGTGGGGAGAGGCCGACGCAGGAGGGGACCCTGGGCTGCATGGGGCTGGATCGGGGCTGGAGCGGGTGCAGAGCGGGTGCAGAGCGAGGCTGGCATGAGGGCTCAGTGGCCAGGTGGCCCCTTTCCAGATGGCCTTCCCACTGACTTGCCGATCCTTCTGATCCCTCGAGGCTGAGGGGTCAGCGTGCTGCCTGGTGAGCCCCGCATCCCCTCACGCCTGCAGAGGGGAAGGGAGACGGGACGATCTGGTGTTGTGTGCGCCAGGGCAGTGGGCTGGGGTGAAGAGAGCGGATGCCCGGGCTGGTGGGGAGCTGGTGGGGGGCCCTCTGCGTGGGTGTGGGCTGCAAGGCCTGGACTCGTTCAGGTGCTGTGGTCACTCTGGGTGAGCTCGGAGTGCGCAGCAGGCGGCGTGATGCTGGGTGGGTTTATGAGCTCACCGCCAGCTGGGAGGGAGCTTTTGAGGACCGTGGTGGGGGTAGGTTCTGTCCTGAGGGAACAGATACTTCCGTGCAGATACTAAACTTTTGCCCCCAAGTAAGGTTGACTCTGGTGGGGCTCCTGGAAGAGGAACGTGGTTGGGGGTCCACAGAGACGTTGTCCAATTGGACTTGCTGTCCACGGCGGGCGTGGGCAGGTCCTTAAGGGGCTGGCATCGCATGTGGGGCGTGCTGAGTATGGCCCAGAGGGTCAGTAGCTGGTCAGCCTGACTGGTCGAGGAGGCAGCGATGCCTGGCGGAGACACACGGCTCTGTGCCTCACTGCAGCCTCTGAGGTACTGAGTGTGTGCTGAGGCCAGTCACCTGCTGTCTGACTAGGCGGGACTCTTGGGGTACCAGCCTGCTTGGTACCTTGGTGCCAGATCCCCCCCCCCTCCGCTGAGCTTCACCTTCCCATTGTGTAGAAGGGTAGTATGCTTGGGAGCATGACCAAGCCAAAATGGGGGACCCCCCTTGCAGAGTGGCTGCCTGCTGGCCAAGCCTATCCCACAGCCCCTCAGAGGGCTGAGTTCTTGAGCTCTGAACCCCCAGCGACCCTTCTCTGCGGGGTGGGGCTGCAGGCCCTGGCTCCGGACTTGTTCTCACGCGCCCTGCTTTTGCAGGCACGGGCGAGAGCGGAAAGAGCACGTTCATCAAGCAGATGCGGATCATCCACGGGGCGGGCTACTCAGAGGAGGACAAGCGGGGCTTCACCAAGCTCGTGTACCAGAACATCTTCACTGCCATGCAGGCCATGATCCGCGCCATGGAGACCCTAAAGATCCTGTACAAGTATGAGCAGAACAAGGTGAGGCCTGGGGTGCCGTCGGATAGGGGCCGCCCGGGGCACAGCATGGTGCCTGGCTTCCCTCCCTGCCAGGACCTGCCTTCTCGGAGCGCCTGCAGCAGGCACGTCCTGGCCAAGCCTCAGCCCTCCTGTCGGGTAGCCCTCAGTGCCCCCTCCGACAGCAGGGAAGCCGGCCCAGGGGTGGGTAGTGTGAGCTCCAGCTCCTGGCCCCTCACACACTGTGTCTGCCGGTGTGGGTGATCCCGGGGGGTGGGGCACTTCCCTTCCTTTTTCTTGAGTAATGGCTTATTGAGACCAAAGTCACTCACGGGGCAGGTCTCTCCTTAAAGTGTGTAATTCACAGCTTTCTAACACACACAGCTGAGCAACCACCACCACTGTCTAGTTTGGGAACATTTCATCACTTGAAAAACAACCCCGTCCCCATCAGCTGTCACTCTCCCCTCCTCCAGCCCCTGGGCCCCCGCGAGCCCCCTTCCCATTTGTGGATGAGCCTGTTCCGGACGTGTCACCCACGTGGACTCACACCCCGTGTGGCCTTCTGTGTCTGGTTCCCTCCCTGAGCGTCGGGGGCTTGGGGTCCGTCCCCGGGGCTGCACGTGTGGGCGCCTCGTTCCTGCTCGCGGCCATTGTCACGTGTTTGTCTGTTCACCACCTGATGGCCAAGTGCCGCTCCCGTGTGCGGGGGGACACGCAGTGTGTATCCGCTCCCCCGCTGATGGACGCTTGGGTGTTTCCAGTTTGTCTCCTTGGCGCCTGCTGGGCTGACTTTCACATGCAGGTTTCTGTGTGCACACCTGTTGTCACTTCCCCGGGCCATGTTTCCGGGACACGGGTTCACACGGCAGCTCGAGGTTTGCCCTCGGTAGGAGCTGCTGGCCCGCTCTCACCACAGCATTCCCCCCGGTCATGCACCCGTGGGCTTTCACTGGTGGCCTCCCTTGGCTTTGCTTTTGTAGATCTGTTTTTGGGGGTTTCTCATTCAACCCCGGAAGTTTGCCCTGGGCTGACATGAGGCACGGGAGTCCATATTTATGCAGTAGTGGTTTAGATGAATCCATTGCTTTGAGGCTTAAGAAGGTCAGTCAACCAGATTGCTGATACATCTCCAACTGGCACCTTCCTCCCTGTATCCCGGTTCATAGATGATCGGGGACCCCCAGCAGGGCCTGGTGTGGGGTTGGGGGGCCTGCCGGAGCCTCTTGCCCTCTGGGTCTGGGTTGTATGATCTGCTCAGCTGAGACCCTCTCCAGCATCCAGACCATACAGTCCAGCTGGTCTGGTGTTTGGACCATAGATGTCCACCTGCATCTAGAACAGCGGTGGCCTACCTCTGTTGTGTTTTTGTAAATACAGTTTTATCGGTTCACGTGATGCCTACTTGTTTATGTATCGTCCTTGATGGCTTTTGCTGCAGTGGCAGAGATGGGGGCCACAAAGCTGAAAACGCTGTTCTCTGGGCTTTTATAGAAGTGGATCCCTGATCCCTGATCATCACACATTGACAGTCAGGGGGGTTTTCCGGGGCTGGTGTCTTCTTCCATAGGTCCAGACTACGGGGCAGGTGAGGGCTGGGGGCCACAGTTGGGGGGTGGGCAGTATGGGGCAGCTCTCCAGCCCAGGAGGAGCCCACTGGCTTTCAGAGCATGGGCTAGGGTTCCCTCGTTCCCCATGTTGGCTTCTGCCCAGGTGTGTCCTTCCCCCAGACCCTCTGCTGGTGGCCGGTTGTGTGGCTCAACCACCCTGAGGACGACAGGCACGTGGAGAAGTGGGGTCTCCTGAGTCATGTGCCCCGAGTGGTTCCTCTGGCCAGCACCCCGCCCCCAGTCCACTCTCCCCTCAGAGATTGCTGGGGTTTGAGGAGCTGCGTGCCAGGAACGGGGTGCAGGCCAAACAGACTTCTGAGGTGACTCCTGTTGCCTCATCTGTGAAACGGGGACAGGGGAGCTGCTGATGGTGGTGTGTGTTCATTGCTCTGTTTGTTCTCTTTTGGGTCCGGCCCTCGGTCACTTTTTAAAGAGTCTGCTTGTTTGTGCACGTGGTTGCTTCCAGTCCTGCCTGCTGCTCCCCAGCGCTGGGGCGCACCGCAGCTGCGCAGGCCCAGCCCCAGGAGCTGCCTTGCTCTCGGGCTCTGCCTTGGGGACCTCCCACTGAGGGACGGCCACCGCGGCCCACTCTCGCTCCTTCCTGACGTGCGCGTGCTTCGCTGGGGCAGCGGTCCCCCCTCGGTCAGGCGCCCCGCGGGGGCCCGGCCGCCGGCGAGCCCATGGCTGTCCCTGCCCGCCCCGCAGGCCAATGCGCTCCTGATCCGCGAGGTGGATGTGGAGAAGGTGACAACGTTTGAGCACCGTTACGTGCACGCCATCAAGACCCTGTGGGGTGACCCCGGCATCCAGGAGTGCTATGACCGCAGGCGGGAGTACCAGCTCTCCGACTCCGCCAAGTAGTGAGTAGGGCGCCCGCCCCGCGGACCCGGCCAGGCCGCAGGGGGCGCCGTCGGGCATGCGGGCGAGCGCGGGCTCGCTGCTCGGGCCAGGCGGGCCGGGCTGCTGTGAGGTGGTCGCTGCAGGCGGCCTGGCCGGGTCGGAGCATCTCGTGGCGCCTCTTCCGTGAGCCTGCACCTGGGCGGACGCGGGAACGTTCATTTTGCGAAGTCAGCTTCCAGCCTGGCCGCCCAGCCGGCCCCCTTTCTCCCGCCGCAGCGGCCGTCCTCGGACAGCCCTGTGAGAGAAACCCCCAGAGCCGGCCTGACTTCTGCCTGTCCCGTGAGAGCCAGGGCAGGGGCAGGGAGGCCTCTGCCCGACCCCAGGTCTGCCTTGTCCCGAGCACTCGGGGCTGTTCCGCCCCTGCTGGTGAGGCACAGTGCCGGGCCCCTTCCGGCTGCTTAGGGGGACCGTGGTGGCTGAGCTGTCCCCCACCCTTGCCTCTTGGCCTGAGCGGCCCTGTCCCTGCTGTATTGCAGCTACCTGGCCGACGTGGACCGCATCGCCACCTCAGGCTACCTGCCCACCCAGCAGGACGTGCTGCGGGTCCGTGTGCCCACCACTGGCATCATCGAGTACCCTTTCGACCTGGAGAACATCATCTTCAGGTACCTGTGCCCTGGGGGTGGCCATGTGCTGGGGCTGCATCAGGCTCTGTGAGCTGCAGTGGGGGCTGTTCGCATCCCAGCCCCCAGGCACCTGCTGCGGGGACAGCGACGGGTTCACTGGGTCCCGGTCTTTGCTCTCAGGCGGCTTCCAACCCGGGGTGGGAGATAGGCTCATAAATAACTGTCACCAGCCCTCAGAGTGAGCCGTGTCCTGGGAGTGGTACGGGCCGTGACGGAGCTGGCCAGAGCTGGCCTGGAGGGGAGGGCTTTCCGGGGGCCTCTGTGACGGGACCGTGGACGAGGGAGGATGCCAGCACGTGTCAGTGGGGCAGGTGGTATGGAGTTGTGGCAAGAGCCGGGTGTGCTGTGGGGCGGTGGAGAGGTCCTGGTGGCCCCGGGGACCCACGCAGAGCCAGGTGACAGGTGGTTCCCGGACTCTGGCTCTTGGGCCCACGGTAGCTCCTGGCATGTGGGCAGGATGGGGCCCAGTCCTGGCAGGTGGCGCGGCCGGAGTAGACTAGGGGCCGTCCTTTGGGGACACGGGCCCTGCCACTCAGTGAGGCCATGGTGGATCCAGAGCTGCTGAGCGGCAAGGGCAAGTGTGTGTCCCCTGGGGCTGCCGCAGCCGATGACCGCAGATGGGCGGTTTGAAACCCACAGGCATGTTTGCCGTCCCCCCTCAGGAGGCCAGAAGCCGAGGAGCGGGGTGTGGGCAGGGCCGGTTCCTTCTGAGGCCGTGAGGGGGGGAGTCTGTTCCCTGTGTCTCCCGGCTCCTGGGGGTCGTCGGCCGTCCTCGGCGTCCCTCGCCCCATCCCTGCCTCCGTGGTCACGTGGCCTGTGCTCGTGTGTCTGTGGCCAGACATCCCCTTTCCTGTGAAAACACTGGTGATTGGATATGGCCACCCCACTCTAATGTGATGTCATTTTAACTGATGACATCTGCAGGGACTTTGCTCCCAAGTCAGTCCCGTCCCCAGGTTTTGGGGGACACCATTTCAACCCAGAGCCCCAAGGCCCGGGCTGGGGCAGGTCCCATCTGCCAGCTGTGAGCCCCCCACTGCCCGCAGTGCCCCGTCTGGGTGCCCTCTGCTCCCCCAGCGCAAGCTCACGCTGGGGAGGAGGTGACGCTCCTGGGGCGGGGTCCCAAAGAGGTGGTCAGCCGTGGCACTTTGCCACTGTCCTGTGGCTTCGAAGCGCCTGCTCTGGGGAGCACCCGAGGAGCCTTTTGGGTGTGCTTCCAGGTGCCCTTTGGCCCAAAACCCGTCCCGCCACAGGGACCCCCCCCCCCCAGAGCTCCGCCAGGGGGGCCACCTGCCCTCACCCCTCCCTGCCCTCCGCACCCTCTCTCACCCGCCGGGCCCCTGTCAGAAGCCCTGTGTGGTTCCCCGGAGTCTCGGAAGCTGTAGGCATCCACCCTGCACGGGTCTGATGCACGTTTTCCTTTTTCTGGTGAGGGGTCAAGGTTTGAGTTTTCTTTCTTGTTTAATTGGATCCTTGATGGGGCTGTAACCTCTGGATTCAGAGCTGAGCCTGCGGAGCACGGGCTGGGGCTTGGGACGAGTGCTGCCCCCCCCAGCCCCCGTCGCAGGGTGTCCTGGCCTCACCCTGACCGCGGCATGGCCTGTGCCTGCCGGGTCCTCTGCCTGGGATGCCTGGCCCCCTCCCTCCCCTCCCCGAGCTTGGACCGGCCGGCATCTCCCTGGGGCCCCCTCCCCGCTCTGCGCTCTGCTCTGTCATGGGCCCCCACCCTCTGCCGCTGCTGGTCCTCTGCCGGCCCACCCCTTCCTTAGCTGGGCACCCATGGGGGCAGCCTGGGGACCGTGGCCCTGAGCTTGTGGCCTGGCCCCTGACTGGAGCGGGGACAGCATTGAGTAATGGCCCGGTGGCCCCAGTGTGTGAGGAGATGAGCCTGGTCCCGAACAGGGGACTTTACTGGGGAGCCTCCTGCTCTGGAAAGGCTGTGGCCCGGGGGCCTGTCCACCCCAGTGGCATTCCCCAGACTGGCCACAGCTGTTGCTGCAGGCCTAGTGGCCTTGCACGGGGCCCTCCTGTCCTTCAGTGTCACCCTGGCACGTCCACCACCCACCTGTGCTTGCTGGAGTCTCCTCAGTGCAAGCTCCGCTGGGCGGCCCCACTCTGTCGGCCGTGCCCGGGACAGCCCCGACGTCAGCCCCTCCCCGCGGCCTCCACCCCCCCAGGCAGGGCCCAGCCGCAGGGGACCCCTGCCTGAGGGCCACTCTGCTTGCCTGCTGTTGTTTTTCTAATCAGAGAAAACTGAAGGACTTCACCGGTAGCCAGCGGCAAACCCCTGTCGTCATCCAGTGTGACGGGGTGTCTCTGCTGCTCCCTTCCCCCGGCTGCTCCCTTCTGCCCGGGAGCCCATTGTTCGGACTGTTAGGTTGCACGTGCTTCTCGTGCTGGACGGGAAACTGCCACCTGCTGTTGCTCCCGGCAACAGGGGAAGCGTGTCGCTCCGTGAGCCACCCCCTTGCGATGCCGAGGCGGGCCCGTCGCATGGCTGTCCTCGGGTTGTCTCGTTCTCCCGTGTCCCGCAGACACTGCTGTGGCGGGCATGCGTGCACGTTGCCCAAGTGAGGGGGTGGGTCTCCAGATGTGGGACCTCAGGTGCAGGGGGCAGCCTGTCCCGCCCCCCCGTCCTCCCCGGGAGCACCTGGGTTCCCGGGCTCCCTAGTCCTGTGACTCCTCCATCAGGTGCGGGTGTTCAGACGCAGCGTGTTCTCCTGGCTCTAGCGGATGTGGGGGGCAGGGGTTCTCCCGGGGGCCCCCTGGGCTCTAGCAGACGCCGGCCGTGCTGGTGGAAGGGGCTTGACAGCGGACCGCGGTGCTGAGCCCCCGCGGGGCTCCTGTCTCCTGCAGGATGGTAGACGTGGGAGGCCAGAGGTCAGAGCGGAGAAAGTGGATCCACTGCTTTGAGAACGTGACGTCCATCATGTTCCTTGTGGCCCTGAGTGAATATGACCAAGTGCTGGTGGAGTCGGACAATGAGGTGAGGCACCCCTCTCCACGCTCTCCCTGCCCTGTGGCCCGGGGGTGAGAGGGGGGTGGCGTCCATCCTCCCGTTTTCCTTCCCACAGAACCGCATGGAGGAGAGCAAAGCCCTCTTCCGGACCATCATCACCTACCCCTGGTTCCAGAACTCCTCGGTCATTCTCTTCCTCAACAAGAAGGACCTGCTGGAGGATAAGATCCTGCACTCCCACCTGGTGGACTACTTCCCCGAGTTCGACGGTGAGCCGGGAGCTGCAGTGGAGTGGGGGGAGCACCCAGGGCAGGGACTGGGCCCCCTGCCCCTCTGGGCCCCGTGAGCCTGGCGGGCAGGGCCAGGTGCCTCCAGCACGGCCCGTTCACTCCCTGGGCCTCGCTGTCTCTGTGATTTGGGGGTACGGGCCCTGACGGAGGCCGGTGGCACGGTCCGTGTGAGCCGGGGAGCTCCCGTGCTCCACCCCCGCCCCCCCGAGCCTCAGTGAGCAGAAGGGTCTTGTGTCCCCAGGGGGGGGCGTCCTCTTGGGGAGGGGCTCTCTCACGGTCTGTGCACAGCCGCAGGAGGGATGCACGGGGACACTTTGCTCCCAGGCCCCCGCTTGTCCAGAGCCTGAGTGGGGAGGAGCGAGGCCCTGGCAATGAGGGGGTGGCCCAGGACCCTCTTCCCCTCCCCGGGTTAGCCTGAGCTTTAACAGAAGGCAAAACTGAGCACAGACCATTCCCAGCTCCCTTTTCGGCACCCCTGCTGTGTGAGCATCAGCCACAGCTGCCTCTCAGGACACAGGACTCTAGGGCACTCTGGGCCTGGCCACCCCTCCCCAGCAGCTCGGTCCCGGCTGGCCCAGAGCCTCGGGGACGTGGTTGTGGCCCGATTGCCATGTGCACACAGCAGGGACGGTAGCCGGGCAAGTGTGCACGTGTGTACAGGAGCGCGTAGGGCCGTGTGGACATGCGTGTGGGCCCCTGCCCGTGTTTGGATGTCAGTGTTGGGGAAGTGGTGGGAGCACAGTGGGGTGAAATGGGGCTGGGCAGGAAGCTTGGCACAGTTGGGAGGTGGAGGGGGTGTCGGACGTGGGCAGCAGCTGGCTGAGAGGCCGAGGGGCCGCACAGGGGGGCCAGGGCCCCGGGTGGAGGCGGGGGGCGGCCGGAGGAGCTGCCCCTGCTTGGCCAGTGCCCGGTCCGCGCCCAGCAGGTGTCTGTCTGTGCATGGCTGGTCTGCGCGTGATCAGTGTCTGTCCGCAAACTGCAGGTGCCCTCATAAGGCCGGTCCGCGCTCGGCGGTGACTGTCCGCGCCGGGCGGGTGTCTGGGCGCACCACGGGTGTCTGTGCACCTAGGGCAGGTGTCTGTCCTTGCCTGGCAGGTGTCAGTCTGAGCATGGCGGGTGTCTGGGTGCACCGTGGGTGTCTGTCCACGTCCAGCGGGTATCAGTCCGAGCCTGGCGGGTGTCTGGTTGCACCGTGGGTGTCTGTCCACGTCCGGCAGATGTCAGTCCGAGCCTGGCAGGTGTCTGGGCGCACTGTGGGTGTCTTGTCACCGTGGGTGTCTGTCCGCGCCCGGTGGGTGTCTGGGTGCACTGTGGGTGTCTGCGCCCGACGGGTGTCAGTCCGAGCCCAGCAGGTGTCTGGGCGCACCGTGGGTGTCTGTCCGCGCTCGGCGGGTGCAGGCTGGCCTCGCTCACCTGCCTCTCTGTCCGCCTCCCCAGGGCCACAGCGGGATGCACAGGCCGCCCGGGAGTTCATCCTGAAGATGTTTGTGGACCTGAACCCCGACAGCGACAAGATCATCTACTCCCACTTCACGTGCGCCACCGACACGGAGAACATCCGCTTTGTGTTCGCGGCCGTCAAGGACACCATCCTGCAGCTCAACCTGAAGGAGTACAACCTGGTCTGACCCGGCCGCCGCCACCGCCCCCAGGGGACAGGGACAGCCGTTGGGCGGGCCTTCCTCCGGGCGCCGAGCCCGCCCGGCTCTGCCCACAGACGAGTTGATTTTGTTTTCCTATTTTTAACAAAGGGTTTTTATTTCACAGCTATCAGGGGACGTATGTGTTTCTTTCTATACACCCCCGTGCACTTTCTCATCTGTGTCAGCGGCGCGGCAGCCTTTTCCTGGCCTTGACTCGTGGCTCGCTTTTTTCTATTAAAAAAAAAAAAAAAAAAAAAAAAAAAAAAAGGAAAAAAAAGGAAAAGAAGGAGACAAGACCAGCGGAGACAAGACACGCGGGCACGCGCGCCCCCACTGCAGGCCGGCGGCCCCCTGGCGCCCAGCGGGGACAGAGCCACCCGCCGGCCCGCCCCCCTTGCTCCTGGCCCTCACCACCGAGGCTCCCCACCCCAGACTATGACTTCTCTTTCTCTCGCTCCCTAAGTTATTGACGTCCTGGACTCCAAGAAGTGGGGGTGGGTGGCGCCCCCCGCTGCCCGCCCTGGGAAGTGCCTAACTTTTTTTTTTTTTCTTTTCCGGGTGAGGAAAGGAAGGCAGTGAGCTGGCTCCCGGGACCCACAGGCTGCTGTCCAGACACCCCCGAGGGGTCAAGGGCGCCCCACTGTGCCCAGGGAGCCGGGAGAGGGCCCTTCTGGATTGGGAGCCACTTTTGATTAGTTCTGTTTTGAAACCAGCTTGGAAACAGTGAGCGTGGAGTGGGGACTTCTTCAGAATATTCTCAGGTCTGTCCCCGAGAGGCAGAGAAGGGAGTCGCCCGCGGCGGTTCCCGGGCGCGGCCTCCGGCGCAAGCCCTTCTCCCACATCCCCCACTTCTGCTCCCGAGCCCCCTGCCCCGGGAGGTGAGCACGCAGCACGACGCGCACTTTGCCCCGAGCCATGGAGGGCCAGTGGCTGCTGGCACTGCGGCCCCGGGTGGCTTCCAGGCCTGGCCACGGCCATGGCCACGCACTGAGCCAGAGCCACGGGCCGCCTTTCCCGGGTCCCCTTCTTCCAAGGGGCTCGGAGGGTGGGAACAAGCGGGGGGGGGGGGTGTTTTCATCTGATGTGGACTGAGCACTACAGTGTTTTTCTGTGGGTTGTTTTGATTTGCACAATGTAGCGGGAATGAACTGCCAGGCCTTGGACCCACCCGCTGCATCTGGACACGGCCCGGTCGCGGTCTGTGTGGCCGCTGCTGGTCTGGGCCGCCAGCAAAGAGTAGAAACGACTCGGACAGCAGCCCCGATGCTGGCGTCCACTGTGCCTGGCCCCGCTCCCTCCGCTCACCTGACGCAGGGGCCGGCCTGCCGGTGTCGGAGGAGAGAGCTAGGAGGGGCCTTGTGGCGACTGGGGAGCCCCTTCAGGGTGGGGCGGTGACATTCCTAGTGCCCAGCCCTCTCTGGGGGCAGGACGGGCCCTCACGGTGCCACGTGTCTGCATGGGAGGGGGCGTGCCATAGCCTCCAGCATGCACCCTCAGTGCCAGAGCAGATGGTGCTGCTGGCGGGGGGCCTGCCCAGGGGACTCGGGGTCCTCGCAGGGTGCGCATCGCCATGTCTCAGCCAAGATCACAAGGGAACTGGGTTGGGGCGGGGGGGGGGGGGGGGGGGTGACCTGAGCCTGTGAGCCTGGGCACCCGAAGTATTAATTCTTCCCAGAGGGAGCAGTGTGCCAAGCACCCTAGAGCCAAAGCCTGGCTGGAGCACCATGCCACCCCCGCCCAGCGCTTCTGAAACCCTGAGGGCCCAGGACCGGAGGGCGGGGACACCGCCGTGTGCCCTAGAGGGTTGGAGACCGCTCTGCCGGTGGGGCCTGGGTGGTCCGGGCCCCTCCCTCGCCCATGGTGTGAGGCTTGTTTTTCTCGTTTTCCACCCTGGGGGGGCTCCATCCTCCTCCCACTGTCAGGTTCCCCCCCCCCCCCCAGAGACGTCCCAGTGCCAGCGCCCCCGAGCGGCAGTGCGGGAGGTGCGCCGGCCGCCAGTGGACCTCCTCTGGTTATACTTGTATATTACACAGTCCTGATTTCAGACGGTTTCAACCTTAACCTATTTTAAAGAAGAATATTATATAAAATACTGTTTTTAAACTTTTTGTCATTTGAAATGCATGTATTGTTGTGCGTGCTGGGGGACAGGCCCATTAGCTCTGTGCCAACCTCCCAGGGCCAAGACTGCCATGTTGGGGCAGGGGTGGGGGGCGGCGGGCTTCGCTCACCGTGTCGGGGCCCTGACCCCTTAATCCAGAGATAGCTGATGGAAATTGACTTTTCATATCTTTCTCCTGAAATGAATTCTGTTTTAAATTGGAATAAATTTTGTTCCTAAATGCTGTGGCCCCCTCTGGCTTATTTCTGATTGCTGGCCATGGTGGGTGGGTGATGGGCAATGCAGGGGTGCCCGAGCTCTGGAGGGTCTTGCCTGGTCCTCGTGTGGCTGGCTGGTGTGTGAGCTCACGGGAGCGGGGGCCACGGCTGCCCCGGGATGTGCCTCTGGCCTTGGCACCAGGGCCCCTGCTCTGAGGTTCCCCGACTGGGCCCTGACTCCATTTGTCTGTACTGCCGGGCCAGACCATCCGGCAAGAGAAGTGCCTCCTGACTTGGTCGGGGACTGAGGAGCCCAGGTTCTGGACATTCTGTATTTATTTCTGTAAACTGAGGAGGTTGGGCTTGTCTCTGCAGTCTTCTCTGGGGCTTTTTTCCTTCTTAAAAAGTGGTAAGTAGGGCGCCTGGGTGGCTCAGTTGGTTGGGCGACTGCCTTCGGCTCAGGTCATGATCCTGGAGTCCCGGGATCGAGTCCCACATCGGGCTCCCTGCTCGGCGGGGAGTCTGCTTCTCCCTCTGACCCTCTTCCCTCTCGTGCTCTCTATCTCTCGTTCTCTCTCTCTCTCAAATAAATAAATAGAATCTTTAAAAAAAAATGGTAAGTACACATAACAAAATTTACCATCTTCTAAGTGCACAGCTCAGCGGCGTGAAGCACACTCACACCGTCCTGTGACCACCCCCACCCTCCGTCTCCAGAACTTTCCATCTCCCCACACGGAGACTCTGTCCCCACGAAGCACGGACTCCCCACCCCCTGCCCCAGCCCCGGCTCCCACCCTCTCTGTCTGTGTGGACGGGACTCCTCTGGGGACCTCCTGGGAGTGGGGTCCTCCTGCGGGATGTGTCCTTCTGGGTCTGGCTCCTCTCACTGAGCCCGGTGTCCTCGGGGTCCCTCCGAGTCGTGGCAGGTGTCAGGGTCCCTTCCTTTCTTCTTCAGGCTGAATAATCATTTTATGGATGAACCACTTTGTGCTTTACTGTTCCTCCATCAGCGGACACTTGGGTTGTTTCTACCTCTTGGCTATTGTGAATCGTGCTGAAGTGAACATGGGTGTGCAAATAACTGTTCGAGACCCTGCTTCCAGTTCTGTTGGGTATAGACACAGAAGTGGGATTGCTGGATCATATGGTCGTTCTCGATTTAACTTTTGGAAGAACCACCAACCCCTTTGCCAGTATCTGCCCCGTTTCACACTCACACCAGCCGTGCACAAGGGTTTCAATTTCTGCACATCCTCCTCTGGTTTTATTCCCTTGTTTGTCTGTCGGATACTCCTTGAAGGCCCATGGTGCCAGGCACTGTCCCAGGCACTGCGGTATGGCAAAGGAGGTAGCACTTACCACCAGAACTTAATCTATGAAGAAAAATAGAGCGGGAGGGCAGGATGAGTAACAATAGTGACAAGAGGAGAGGGCATTGCAGGTAGCGGGCACAGCCTATGCAAAGGTCCTGGGGCAGCACTGGGCTTACATATTGGAGGAACAGCCAGGGGGCCTGTGTGGCTGGAGCAGAGTGAGTGAGGGGTAGAGAAGGAGGAGGGGAGGGCCGGCGGAGGGGACAGGAGCAGATCGTGCAGGGCCTAGGGGACCACGCGGGGAGGACTTGGGCCCCAGGGAGGTGGGAGTCCTGGAGGGCTGTGGGCTGAACAGGGCGGGACCTGACTCGGGTGCTCACGGACGCCCTCTGGTGGCCGCTGAGGGGAGGGCGGCGGACTTGGGGGCGAGGGCGGGGCTGGGGACCAAGGTGGAGGGGACTGCGTTGGTCCTGGCGGGCGTGATGGGGGCGGACCAGGTGGAAGCAGAGGAGTGGCAGGATCCGGGAAGCGGGCGGCGGGGAGGAGCAGGCCCCGCCAGACTGCCAGCGCACCTGGACGTCATGACCCCCGCGGCCGGCAGGTGCCGCTCGCCCGCTCTCTGGCCACCCCGCCCACCTGCAGCCCTAAGCGCGTTTTCTCCGGGGGAGGGCCTCTCATCCCGCTCTAATAGGGAAACCAAGGCACCTAGTGGCCAGTTCCCTGCCCTGACGGTAGGCCAGCGGTTGCGGGACTTGGGCACCAGCCGCAGCCCGTCCAGCTAGGCTCGGGCAGGGGCTAAATGACAACGCAGTAGGAGAACAGTAGGAGAATTTCAAGTCGGAAAACCTGCAGGGCCAGGTTCGCACACCCACGAAGCCTGCCCTGCTGACCTGTCCTGGATTGCTTCCACCTTTTGGTTGCTGTGAAGGATGCTGCTATGAACACAGGTGTGTAAGTACCTGAGTTCCGCTTTCCGTTCTTTGGGACATAAAACTAGGAGTGGGAATCGCTGGATGAAGACTTTCTTGTCTTATCCAAATAAATGATTCATCGGTTAAAAACTTGGGATCCCAGCATTGCCTTCTGGCCACTCCTGGGGGTGGGCATGACCTTAGGTGTGGCCAAGGACAGGGTCCAGGGAGGGACAGCCATGGACTCCCGGCATCTGAGGAGTGGGAGGTACTTGGAAATGATGTAAATATCCTATTCTTCATTAAGCAGAAAAGACATTTTTATTTTTATAAAGATTTTATTTATTTATTTGAGACAGAGAATGAAATAGAGAGAGAGAGCATGAGAAGGGGGAGGGTCCGAGGGAGAAGCAGACTCCCCGCCGAGCAGGGAGCCCGATGCGGGACTCGATCCCGGGACTCCAGGATCATGACCTGAGCCGAAGGCAGTCGCTTAACCGACTGAGCCACCCAGGCGCCCCAGAAAAGACATTTTTTAAGAGCTTTATTTATTTTAGAGAGAGAGCGTGCGTGCGTGCATGCGCAAGTGGGCGGAGGGGGCAGAAGGAGAGGGAGAGAGAATCCCAAGCAGATTCCCTGCTGAGTACAGAGTCTCACATGGGGCTCGATCCCAGGACCCCGAGATCATGACCTGAGCCAAAACCAAGAGCCAGATGCCCAACCGAGGCACCCAGACGCCCCGAGCAGAAAGGAAAATTTTAATACCAGAGAAGCAGAAAGGAGCATGTCATCTGTGAATGAAGGAGACGGGGAGGGAAGGAATGAATGCATCCCATGAAAACTCACCAGAGCTAGTGGGAGTGTAAAATGGTGCATGCACTTTGGCAAAAGATAGTATCTGGGAAATAGCTCATAACCTAGCACTGCCACACAGAGGTATTATTCCACAGAAAGTCAGACAGACGGTCACCCAACGGCATGTGCTGAGTGCCCGCAGCCTATTTGCTCAGTGCAGCCCTGAGCTGAAATTTAACCAGACACCCGTCAACAGTACGACGGGAGGATAGCGAAGCATGGGGATCGTACTCAACATATCTGAAAGCTGCTGAGAGTAGACCTTAGGCTTTTTCATCACAGGAAAACAGAATGTGATTACATGTGGGTCCAGACGTTAACTGGACCCCATTGTGGTGATCATTTCACGATATAACACAAAAATTGGGTCTGTGTGCGGTACACCTGAAACCGATACAAAGTCATGTCAATGAAACATCACAAGTATCAAATGCTGATCAGAAAAACAAAAGAATGGATGAAGGGACGGTGGGCTACTCAGCCGTGAGGACGGAGGACTTAACAACCGCGTGTGGCAGTACGTTGTGTCGCAAACGCAAAGCGGAGTCAGGGGTAGAAACCAGACTCTCCAGAGTTCATCCTGTGCAGTTCTACTCAGATAAAGTTCAAAACTGGCAAAAATGAAACACGATGTTTAGGTTTCTTAATTCAGTTGTGAATTGGTAAAGAAAAGCAAAGAAGCAAAGAGGGACTTTACCTAAGAGAATCAACTCACCAGAGGACAAGATGATTCAGGGGTGCACGGGGTACACAAGGCAAGATGTGGAGGGCCTGAAAGGAGATGACAGTTGACAGGCTTCTTAACAAATGGTGCTGGAAAACTGAACGCCCACACGCAGGAGGAGGAGGAGAAAGAAGAGGAGGAGGAGGAGGGAGGAAGAACCTCAACCTACACAAAAATGAACACGAGGATCATAAATCTAAATGTAACATTCAGGGGCGCCCGGGCGGCTCAGTCGTGGAGCGTCTGCCTTCGGCTCAGGTCACGGTCCCGGGGTCCTGGGATCGAGCCCCGCATCGGGCTCCCTGCTGGGCGGGAAGCCTGCTTCTCCCTCTCCCACTCCCCCTGCTTGTGTTCTTGCTCTCGCTGTCTCTCTCTCTCTCTGTCAAATGAACAAATAAAAATCTAAAAAAAAAAAAAAAGGGCATCGAACAGCATTGAAATTTAAAACTTTTGCTCCACGAAAGACACAGTTAAGGGGATGAAAAGCCAACCTACAGACTAGGAGGAAATATTTGCAAACCACACACCCAATAAGGGACTTGTATCAAGATCATACAAAAATTTCCCAAACGCAGTCATAAGACAACGACGCAGTAAAAGAAACGACAAATTACGTGACTAGATCCTTCCCCGAGGAGGATACACGGAGGGCGCCTAGACACCGTTAGTTCTTCCGGGAGACGCGGATTAACTCCCTAAGGAGACACCATCACGCACGTCTTAGAGTGGCTAGAATGAAAAATACGACACCACCACGTGTTGAAGAGGACGCCGAGCAACAATGGTGTGTCATCCATCGCGGCTGCCCATGCGCAATGGTGCGGCGGTTTTGGGAAGCCGTTCACGGTGCCTTGCAGACCCTGGCCCCACAAACCCCGCCTCGAGGGCTTTATCCTGGAGAAATGAACACGTGTGTTTGTAGCAGCCGGTCTTCACGATCACCCTGCATGGGAAACAGCGCCCTGTCTTCTGTGGATGAACCTTGCTGGGCAGTGCCCCACAGCCGCTCAGTGGTCAGAAGGAGGCCTGGGACCCCTGCTTGAAGACGTGAATCTCAAACGGTAAGGGAGAGAAGCCAACCTGAAAAGCCACATAAGAGTAGGCTTGCCTTGATAAGACATCCTGAGAAATATTTTAAAAATCATGGCAATGAAGATCAGCGGTTTCCAGGGACTGGAGCTGGGTTGAGGGTCTGAGGACCCAGCGGGGGGGTGGGC